TTAGTGCTAGCAGGTTCCCAATGGGAAATTCCATTGAGACCAAGTAGCACTAAATTGGTGACTTAGAAACGACGCTGTCAAGGAACGCTATGGACAGCGGAAACATGCAAGAGGAGGAGAGTTTAGGGTCGGAGGTCGTGGATGAGTCTCCTCAGTCATCCATTTTTTATTTAGAGGAGGAAAGCGGGGACGAAGATATTGTGGAAGAGGACGCCAGGGCGGCAGAAGCTTGGTTTGGTGTAGAAGGCTTCCAGCCGTACATGTTTGAGCCCTTGCCTCGCAACGCTGCCAGTTCTGTTAGCTCTACGCCTGCCGAAGACACAGACGTCCATCCCCGTGAACACTGGGACGCAACTCAATGGGAAAGAAAAGGATTCTGGTTTCAACCGTTGCGTATATTAGCTGCGACACATGAATCAAGAAAAAATTTGATTGACAGATGACCGTTGATATATGATTGGCCTAGTTCAGGTGTTCAGGCTGACGTAGAACTAACTGGCCTGCAGAAGATAAGGGAAAAACAAATATTTTAAACAGAAATTTTCTAAATTTTAGGTTTATATCGTCTGATAAAGAGTAGATTTATATTCATGTTTAAGCCAGAATAATTTGACATTTAACTATGATTTCTCAACGACTCTAATTTAACCAAACTTGTTTTAACCAACTAGATGGGTTGTTTTTTCCAACCAATCTATTCTTAGAATCTATCCAAACTCAGTCCAACTGGAGCAACTCTGCTATAAACTTCCACGTCTTGATTGAATACTGAGGCTGTTTCAGTGACTGCCGAAGTTCTTGCCTAGTCCGAACAACTTTCGAAAGCGGTCACCTGGTATCACGGTAGGGAGTCACCAATTTTGGCCCCTCCCCTAAATGAATCAGGCGTTTCGAGAAATAGCCCCCCTCCATTACTCGACACACGCCTCAAAGCTTCAGCTCGTCTCATAACATCACCAGTGGTTCCTCTTCCTTACTTCATTCCTTCGGTTTACCATTTTTTTATTTCTCAATAACAAAAACAGTCCTTAGGTGTAAATATTTCCTACTTTAGAGGAAAAACAATTTCTCAGTGTGAAAAATGTGAGCGGCAGCAGATATTACTGTGGAGCAGATGCCTCACAGTGGCTGAGAACTGTCGGTGCTGATGCAATAAACGTGATGAACTATGAGCTCACAGGCAGAGACTTGCTTAGTAAAAGAAATGAAGTTAAACTCAGCATGGCGAGATCTGCAGACGCACCACTGGCTGATCAACTGTGTGGAAAAAAACATGTTTTCTGTACGTTTGTTTGCCATAAAAAGATAGAGCAGCTCTGCAACATTAGGTGGAACAGTGACTGGCTATTGCTAAGCAGCCATTAGATCAACATTTCCTCTGTTCCCGTCCAGAGATAACATCTCTGCACGCTGTGAGGGGATGATTAGCAAAGAAAACCCAGCCATCAGTTAAGCCTGCAGTGAATTGTGACACATGGAGGTCAAGGCCACAGTTGTCATCATTATTTCTTTGCATTTTACGACAGAGAAAGGAAGAGAATAAAATCTCAACCACAGTTATACTGAGTCGCACTTTGAGAAGTAAAATATCTTAAAAGAAAGAAAGGAGAAATCTGACTGACTTCCTTACATTTTTAGGATCGTCTTCTGCTTTGTTTCACTATAAGGGGTGAGTAGAAAAGACTCAAATAGGATTAACTTGCAATCCAGTCCCACAGGTTGAGTGTTTTGGATGAACACCTTCAATGAACAGCATTCACTGGATCCTGATAGAGAGCAGCATGTCTACTGCTAGTACTAGCCTGCTCCATTCACACTCATCTGTTTTCCAGTGTAGTCCTGTTTCTCTGACTGTGACTAACTGGATGTGCTCTCTTCATCTTCTGACATGGGAGCTGGCTAGGAGCTCGTCTGCCTGGCTGTGTCTGACTATATGATCTGGTTGAATTGTTTCTATAAAGTATCATGAGATTAAATTATGTTATTTTACACTAACGAAATAAACTGAATTGAATTGAAAATAATATTAAAATATTCTTAAAGCTACAGTGTGTAATAATTACAGGGATATACAGTCAGAAATGTAATATATTATACATAACTATGTTATTTTATCATCATCTACGAGCTCAGCCTCTTAACCTTAATATTTGCGTTGCCTTAGAATTCGTTAGTTATAATTACATAGGAGCGGGTCTCGCAGCCATGGAGGCAGACATCTTTGCGCTACGGCAGCGCAGAGCCAACAAACTAGCGATTGCGAGATCGCCAAAACGTCACAACGATGTAGAAAAAATAACGGGTATATTTATTATCTTAAATCTACATGAAATCTATACCCTACACAGACTAATGAAATACTATCAGTAAAATAATCTATGTAAACAAACCTCATCACTTGAGAAGGTAGGTGATGCGGACGTCGTGGAAGACATTTTGTCCCGTAACGCTCGCCGTACTGTTGGGGGGGGAGAAGCGGTGGGGGGGAGATGTTCATGTTGCTGCAGTCTGCAGTCTGACCGCTAGATGTCACTAAAAGTTACACACTGTAGCTTTAAATGTTGAGTGTCTTTCTAAAATGATAGACAGAGACCAGTAAGCTGAGAGTTCTGCTGGAGGTTTCTTCCTGTTCAAAGGGAGTTTTTCCTCTCCACTGTCGCTACAAGCATGCTTAGTGTGAGGGATTGCTGAAGAGTCAATGAGTCGATGCAATCAACTCCGTGTATTCTCATTATCAGTTCGTTTGAAATCGTACGAAAAGTTATGCGCAGTAATTTCGTACGTTTTTGACATTTTTTTCGTCACATTTCGTAGTATTTTTACTTCTTGCCTCAAGACAAGATAAATAACATAGAATGTAACAATTAACCCTAACCCTAAGATACCAAACAGCAAGCAACCTAGTTAGAGACCTGAAGAAGTGATCATTGTAATGTTTTTCCCAGTGTTACGTCCCTCCGCGGATCTGCTTTTTTCGTCTGTCTGGCTGCGCATGCGCACTGATCTGTTTTTTCGAGGAAAAACGTCAAAAACGTACGAAATACTGTGCATAACTTTTCGTACGATTTCATACGAACTGATAATGAGAATATGTTGATCAACTGGTTTGCCTTAGATAGAAAACTTTAAATCAATGTGACTGGATGATCTGGTTGAACTGGAAAGTGCCTCACATGTGTTGCGCTGCATAATTGAACTGAACTGAATTGAAATTGAATCTGCTGGTAGTTCTGATGCCAGTTCAGCAGAACGCTTGGCAGAGTTTAATCAACTAACAAAGAAAGACTGGGAGAGAAAAAAAAAATTCAAGTTTTTATGTAAAAAGTTTTCCCACTGGGACTTAACAAACAATTCCGTACGTCGGCCATGTCCACTTCACATTTAAAACCACACATGGAGTGAAAGCATCAGAGCTATCTTGGAAAATATCTGCTACTGAATGAGGAAATAATTTTGATCCAGATCTTTTCAGCAGAACCTGAAGTGTTGATTATTTTTTTGGATTAATAATCGGACAGCAAAAGCTTCTCTAAAGGAGATCAAATGAAACCAGGTGAAACTAGAACTTTTCCACTTGAGGAGTTCTGGATAGAGCATATCGACAGACAAAAACACTTTTTTATTTATCTTAAATGCAAAACAATTACATATATTTTTTGACAATCTTGGAATAATAACAGCACTAAGTGGGTTGCTCTGTCATCTGAAGTCATCTTTTAGACTCTCTACACTCCAGTCAACAATTAATTGATTACTAAATTAGTTCTTGTTGTTTTTTTGCAAAATGTTCCCACCGGGACTTCACAAACAAGTCAGCCCCGTCCACTTTAAATTTAAAGCCACACATGGAGTTAAAGCATCTGGAAATATCTGGTACTGAATGAGGAACGGAAGAAATCATTTTGGATCCAGATCTTTTCAGCAGAACCTAAATTTTCCTGAATATTTCTGAATTTCGTTATTGAGTTTTTGTTTTGTTTTAGTTCTGAGAAAAATATTTAGGACAAAATTTTCCAGAATCCAGAACATCTGTTCAGAGATGTGGGGGTCAGAAGCTCAGAACGTTAAACCTAGAATTCAAGTGGACTGATCAGAGCTTTATCAAAACAAGCGTTTATTATCCGCCCCCAGGGTTTCAAGAGAAGAGTCGGAGCAGGCTGAGGAGCAGAAACCAGCACACAAGGAAGAGTTGGGAGAATACACAACCAGAGTGAAAGCAGGAACAGGTTTCCAGGCAAGAAGATCTGAAGTCCAAAGAAGAGCTGAGGGGAAATCTAAGCCGGGGTCAGAAACTAGTCAAGATCAGGAAATCATAAACTCACAGATTGCTAGAAAACTCTTACACTCATTGGGATAATCTGGCATTGATGGCTGGAAAACAGGCAGCATAAATAAGAACGGGAACAGGTTAATAAGATGAGCGGTAATGAGCAACCAGGCGGATTAGGACAGGTGAATGGAAGAAGCAATTAAGCCCCAGGATCATGACAGTGGAATTATTAAATGATGAAGATGGACTAACATTTTATCAGCAGGTTTAGACCTGCAGATTAGCAACCTTCCAAAGTTTAACGATAGTTTTCCAAACAACTCATCACTAATTAACAGCACAAGGAGAAAACAAGTGATCAGCATCCACTAACTGAACCATTTGCTATAACCTGGAGTTAGTCCAATGGGGAGCTAATCATCAGCTTTATACAATGCTGAGGTGTCAGCGGCTGATGATGTCATAGATGTTTATAGTTAATTACATGATGACAATAAGGAGGTATGTTCTTATTCATGTCTACCAGGTGGTTTTCTTTAGTGGGCTGTATGAACCCTCAGTCTGCAAAAGTCCTGCCACTCTTATGCCACCTTTCGTTAAAAGTCTAGTTCCGCCACTGGACATCCAGATGTTGAAGTTAAATGCTGCTTTCCTTATTTTGACTGTAGGACCTGAGTGGCTCCAAGGTGAAGCGGCTCCCGCTCCATCCTGTCCGCGCATCATCAGCGCAGCGCCAATCGCAGGCACGCCTCCTGCGGTGCCAAACATAAAAGCTGCTGCGCTCCAGCCTCCACAGATCACAGAGCAGCACACAGGTGGTTAGTTCATGTTTCATATTTAGGATGAATGTAAACGTGACGCTCTCGGAGCGCAGCCTGGCCGGCTTTGGCGCGCTGGCGCAGCGGCTGTTTGGGAACAAATCCTTGAAATCTGTTGGGAATGACACCGGCGCTCCAGGAGCGGGGGGGGAGGACTTGGAGGTGAACACCGACATCTACTCTAAGGTGATAGTCACCGTCATCTACGTAGCTCTGTTCGTCGTGGGCTCCCTGGGGAACTCCATCACTCTCTACACCCTGCTGAGCAAAAAGACCCTGCAGAACCTGCAGAGCACCGTGCACTACCACCTGGCCAGCCTGGCCGTGTCGGACCTGCTCATCCTCGTCCTCTCCATGCCCATCGAGCTCTACAACTTCATCTGGTTCCACTACCCGTGGGTGTTCGGGGACGCGGTGTGCAGAGGTTACTACTTCCTCCGGGACAGCTGCTCCTACGCCACAGCGCTGAACATCGCCAGCCTGAGCGTGGAGCGCTACATGGCCATCTGCCACCCGTTCAAAGCCAAGAGCATCATGTCCCGCAGCCGCACCAAGAAGCTCATCAGCGCCATGTGGATCGCGTCCTTTGCGCTCGCGATTCCGATGCTCTTCATCATGGGCCAAACCACGCGCAGCGGGGAGAAGATCTGCACCACCATCGTCTCTCCTGTCACCCTGAAGACCGTGTTACAGGTTGGTGGCTGCTGGGGGGGCTGAAATATCAGCCTCTGGTGCTTTTATATGTATATATATAAAAAAAACACATCTAAAGTGTCACTATAAACTTCATCCATAAAAGGTTAGAGTGTGAGAAGGAAACTAAGATGAAGAAAGAGAAGCAGGTTTGGGGTGAAGCTTTACGCGCAGCTGCGTCTCCGATCGGTGCTTCCAGTTTGTGCATCGGCATGCGGGCTGATCACGCAACACTGGAGCTCATTCTGCTCAGAAAACGCTTCCATTTTTCATACAGATGTTTTCCTAATGAAATGGTGAGGATCAGCGCTACAGGTGTGATCCAGCTGCCTTCTCACTCCTGATGTCAAATAACCTCTTTCCCAACCAAAGTAAATAAATAACAATAAAAAAAAAAATTAAATATTCACCCCGTTTCTCATAAGAACTATAAAACTGTGTAGAAATGTTTTCTTAAACTGCAAAAACGACCTAAAAATGAGTCAAAATGTCTTAAATTAAGTGTATTTACCCTCAGTTTGAGTAGATTAAGATGATTTGCCAATGGAATTAGGATTTTTACTCTTAAAATAAGGTAATTAGATAATATAAACTTGAAATAAGACAATTAATTTGTTTTTTTCCCTTATTTGAAATGTAAATTTTCTTGTTCCATTAAGAAAAAAAGGGTTAACTAGATTTCCATTTTTTTCCCCAGTGGATTGGATGTATAGACCGTCACAATCCTAATTTAAAGAGAGATAGGTTCATATTTTAATTACAGCTGCAATTGTTTTGGAGTACCTCTTCAAGTTTTGCTCCTTTAGAGGCTAATATTTCCCTCCTTGTGAAGATCAGTGTGAATGTTCAGAGATTGAACCTCGATCCAAACCTTTCCATCCTGACGTCTAAATATGGCTGAGTTTAGGCTGAAAAGGGACCATCACTTTCTGTGTGGAAAAGGTTTAAAGATATATTTTGCTTCACAGAAGCTCTTCTCAATTAAATCAACAGACTGAGGGAACAGTGGCCATGAGGAAAGATACTTTACACAGAACATCCCAGCAGTGCAGGGGCGTAGCCAGAAGTTTTTAATCAGGGTGGCCAGGCAGGAACCAATGGGGGCCAAATTGGATCGGCGCCAGAATCTCAGAGTCTATCTACTCTGGTCCAACAGGAAAATTAACGAGCACAACATCCATATTTTCTAAGTAAAGACAAACTATACTTTCCTACAGCCTTTGCTAACAAATAGACGCAGATATTTAAACATCTATGGCGTCTAAATTAAAGGCATATTGGAAAAAATTCTTAATTATCGAGGATTTGACTGAAGACTCCTTGATGACATGCAGAGACGCATCATTTTCTCTTTACCCCATAAAACACAACATCTAGTTCCAAAGAGCTTGAATTCAGTACTTTAATGTTAGTATATTGATGTGCATAATTAACCAAAGTATTTTTTTAATTAATTTTGTAATTAATTGTTAATATATGTATAGTTATTAGAAGTCAGAGTCAAACCGCCATCATCGCAGTGAACCAATTAAACACTGAAGCACAACTACTGAGCTCTGCTGGAAGTCAGTTTAACTGGGAATCCAGTTTCACCATTGAAGGAAAAGTCCGGTAAGCGAGGAATAATCAGTGGGTCATTATTTATACCTAAAACTAATACGTTTGCAGTTATTTAATAAATTTAATGTTAATCAGTAAAAAAACATAATCATTTTCATTGCGATCACTGTGTCTGGGAGCGGCCATTTTTGCCCAAATATAGTAACAACTCCCTCCTGCCACCTGCAGTAAGCCTAGCTGTCATGATGGGCTTCAGAGATCTAACCCACATGCAGATAACCACTCAGAGACAAAGGGAAGAAGTTAACTGGATTATTGCAGAGCATAGGCGTAGGTTTGCATAGGGACCATAGGGACATGTCCCTACCAAAATTTTGAACCGACCTAATTGTCCCGACCAATAATTGGATGTGAACAACGTGTTTATAATTTACAGCAGTAGTTGTTGCAGCAGTGGCTTCTTTTCCTCTCACAGTTCCTCTGCTTGCTCTCTCCTGTCCCTTTCATGTAGCAGCGCATGGAACTGTGCTGCGCTGTTTAACTCAACTCTCATTGGTTGTTCTGCCTTAAGTTCCGCCTTCTCTCTCTCTGATTGGCTGTTTTCTAGTCCGCGTGTGCTTGGAGCACAACATTGAAAATTTATTCACACTAGAATGCAGCGGTTACTACAATTAATATTAGGCTACAAAACTAGTCCCAATAAAAAAAATGAATATCATGTACACTAAAAAACGAAACCCTTTTTTTTCTTTTACAAAGCAAAATATTCTGAGTCAGCCAGGAGTTCTGAAGACTGCTGGAAAAATGGGCAAATAAAGGCTGTAAGCCATCAACATTTCTGATTCTTAGCCACAGCCAACTAACAAAGAAAATGTGAGGGTTTCCTTTTTACCGATATTTAGTTGATATTACTTGTTTTCATTTTTTTGTTTCTATTTTTACAATTTTGATATAACAACTGATCTAAGTGGGTTGCTCTGTGGGGAAAGGCACATTTTACATTTATATTACTGTATGTTTTAAAGTCTCTATTCTCCAGTTAATGATGAATCACTTACTAAATTAGTTGACGATTATTGAAATAATCAATTAATATGATTAATTTTTTCAGCCCCAGATAAAATACCTGAAATGGGCGACACAGAGTAACTACAGCCCAGATGTTCAACTTTTATAGTGAAGTTAATATCTTAATGAATGTATTATTTTGTTTGATACAGAGAGAGAATAGTAGGTACAAATATTAGAGTGGGGTTTAACTCTGCACAAGTCTATATCTTCAAAAGAAAATACTGTATTTACCTTCTCTCTTAGTCGTTCAAATGAAACCGTTTTCAAAGTGGAAAACAGTCCTAATTCCACATTCATCAGAGCCGGTGATGCTTCAAACATTGATAAACAGCATCTAATGAGTGTAGAGCTTCTAACATTTTTATTAATGGAGCAAAATGTTGCTTTTCTCGTTCAACAATGAATTGCTCTTATCAGTACGGATGCTCACATCGAGCATAAAAAAGGGCATGCATATTGCATAGCACCAATGACACCTGACCAATAGTGTCCCTACCAAAGTTCAAATCAAACCTACGCCCTTGTTGCAGAGGTTACAAGCTCGGAGAGAGAGATAGATTGAACAGGTTTTCTCAGAGGGAGATCCAGCTATCAGGTGAACCGGAACCGGAAACTCTAGGGGGGAAATCTCAAGGATGAGTTCAAGGGCCGTAGGGAAAATGATCGAGGCTGATGAATGGTTCAGAAAAGACTCACAATCGAGGGGTTGTTGGAAGATCCTTGGGTCCAGTTTTTGGGGGTTTGGTCCAGAGAAGATTGTACTCATTGGAGGGCGGAAAGGCAGACTAGTGATGGGTCCAGAGGAGCGATGGAGCGGACCATCACAGGATTTTCCAGAGGTGGGCTTGAATGGATCAGATCAAGGTTTCCCCTTGCTCACCAAAGGGGTAGAAGGACCAGGCTTATCCAGCGGATCAGGAGGGTTATCCTACCGGAGAACACAAAGGAGAAAAAGGCAAACTTAGACACAATGGTTAGACTCAGCTAATCTCAGTTTTGGCTAGAGTACCCAATACTGGCAAATAGGGTTGGGAATTGAAAAGATTTTCACGATTCCGATTCCCTTTTCGATTCTATGAAACGATTCGATTCTTAATCGATTCTTTTTTCGATTCCAATTTGGGGGAAAAAGGAGAACAAACAGTTTGATTATCAGAATCAACTTTGTTTACTTAACTATTGCACAATCTTACAAACTCAAAAAGATCAAGATGTCCACAGGAAATGTGAAACTGGAGTAACATCTGTGTTTAAATGAAAAATGAATACAAGAACAAACTTAATAACCAACAATGTCTAATAACAAATGATGGGATAATAACCTATTTTAAATAACAAAAAATACTAATTATAAAACAGTAGTAGGGAAAATTAACAGTTCTTTTGCAGAAAGATGAGCATATCTGCTTTTTCTGGAAGGATACGGGATCTTTCAGCGCTTATGGTGTCTCCAGCCGTGGAGAACACCCTCTCAGATGGGGTGGAGGAAGCCTGCACACAGAGGTAGTTTTCAGCCAGTCCAGATAGCAAGGGCAGCGTATCTTGCTTGTTCCACCACCACAGTGTGGCGCTATCCCTGCAGGGGATGGAGGGAAAGCTTTTATAGAGCTGGATTTCCTGATCTACCCTCTGGGCTAAGGAAAGACGGGGCTTTGATTCACAAAGTGACCGCAGCACGTTGTCTTCCTCCTCGAATAGTTCTTCCAACTTGCGTAACTTGCGTAAGTTGCGTAACTTACGTAAAAAACGTGACGTAAGTCGTGCTCCCCAGAGCCGGCGCTCTCGGCTCTGGTGCTGCGGGAATCGAAAAAAGAATCATTCAGCGAGCTGCCAAACGATGCCATGGAATCGAAAAATACGGAACCGGTTCTGAACAGGAACCGGTTTTCGATTCCCATCCCTACTGGCAAAGAACTCTGGCGTCGAGGTGGTGACAGTCCGCTGCTCAAATACTCCTCTGGTGATGACCCAACGAGCCACAGGTGTGGGAGGAAAACCGGAAACAACCCTCCAGGCCAAAACGGGGAAGGGGCACCATATAGTGGTGGAAGGAGAAACTAAAAGAAAAACAGAAAAACAAACCCGACAAACAGCACCCTAACACTAGCGCCATTCTCCCCGCTTTCCAAGCTAAATCAATGGGAACTACTAGACACATCTGCAATCAACAACAATTATTGAAGATTTCCAGAGGACTTCACCATTGAAGTTCACCAGAGCTATAGTGAAACTGACAATGCCCACGTGCATGGCAGCTGGATGCTGGAATACATCGGGTAAAAGTGAAAAAAAGAGTTATTCCACCTTTCTGATTCCTGATCCTCCACGGACGGGTTGGTCGTTGGATCGCCAACTTGAAGAGGGATGAT